TATGAACTTAGTAAAAGTAGTAGTGTGTTTATTACGCACTACATAGAGTGTAATTTGAGCACTGAGCGTCAGCAAGCAAGGAATTTAGGTCAAGTTGTAGAATATGCTGCTTGAACACAGATAGTGTAGGAAGGTCCCTGATCTTTTAAGGCAGTTTTTATTTCTGACAAAGAATGTATATGTAATGCTTTACAATAAAAATGTAATATTAGAAACCATGTCACACAGTTTCGGTGAAATCGTGAAAAATTTGGCTTGAAAGGTTGCTATTATCTTCCCTTAATCTCCTACCAAAAGCTCGTTTTGCCTTTAACATGAAATCGAGGCTGATTGAATGTGTGTTTTCACATGACGTCATGGCGGCCATATTTGTGTCCCAAAACAATAAAACGGCGGCCATGTTTGTGTCCCAAACCAGTCCTGTGGGAGTTGAACTCTTTTCTTATATAAACGCTTTCTTTTGTTCCAATAAATTTGCACAGATGCTGGCCACGTGAGTGAAAACACAGAATACCGTAAAATTCGGAAAATATGCCCTAGGGCTTATTTTTTCAAAGCCCTTTTTGAGGGGCTTATTTTTGGAGGGAAATTTTCGCTTCAAAATCGATTGGGCTAACCTTATAGTTGGAAATTTACCGTTTTTGTTTTGTTTTACTTTGTATTTGAGGGCAACTTCCAAGTACAAGCCCCCCAGGGGGCCTATTTTCGGAGGGGATATGTAACGGAGGGTCTTATGCGTTACGAGTTTGGGGGGCTTTTATTTGGAAGGGCTTATACAAGGAGGAGCTTATTTTCGGAATTTTACGGTATCAGCTTAGCCCTAGAATTTTGCGTTAACAAATAGATGAATTTGAAAGAAATAAGTTCTTTTTGTCGGAAATGGATCGCTAAACACTAAAAACTCTCGGCATAATCCCTAAAAACCTTTGAAGATTGCATCACCCGTTGAACAAAGATACTTTGACACATCTCAGGAGAGAACGGTATTTATCATATCGCTCCCTATCAAAACGGCGGTAAGTTTGTTATATGTATCTTGGAGCAGTCTGTGGAGATATATGAGTAAGTTGGTTTTCTTGCGCAGTGTGTTCATTTGAATTTACTTGGTTTCAACTTTCAGCCTCACTTTCATGTTAGTAACCCAAATCGTATACCAAGAGGATACTTCATAGCCTGAAATTCATGCGATTGCTTCGAGTCGTTTTCTCCTCTCAACAACGTCGTTACTGAGGGAGCAATAACGACTCGAAGTAATCAGATGAAATTCAGGCTAGGTGTTTCAATCTATCAAAATTCATCGTCAAACCTTTTTTGTCTTCCGGGTTAAGCAAAACGTCCCTAGCTCCTATCTCTTCTCCCTTCGGTACTGATTTTAGTTACCACTGAAGCGAAACGGGATTATCACTCGGAAAACTAAGGGACGGACCATTAGAAAAGTTATGGGGGAGTGGGGACTTTTCTGAGCCGCCGGAATTTTTTTTCGTTATAAAATTCCTAGTTTGATTTTTTTTTAGGCCGTAGCATGAATATTTTTTAGGGTTAATTGGCGTGCATGAATTTTTTTCATTTAAATTTCCCTTGCGCGATTGTTTTTTTTGTACTTTGCTAATGACTGTCCCTAAACAGCCAATTGTATGGTGTTTTGCTAATAAAGCTAATTACGTCATAATTCAAAACGAAAACTCATCAACAAACCAGCCAGCCATCTTGGTTATATTCTCCGCTCAAGCAAACTTATTTCGTTCGGTTTGGAACAGTTTTGTACCGCACTGAAGGAAGAACATGGAATACTTTGACGAATATGATGTTTACAATTTCGACAAAGCGGCGACGTCCATCAGCAATTCTCGAAAGGGAAGAACAAAACGAGAAGCAAAATTAAACACAAACCGACCGAATCCTGGAGGACACGAGCGAAAGGTCACTGAGAAACTAAAGAATACCGAGAAGAAAAGAAATTGCCGAAACGGACCGAGAACTAAATGAAGCATTAACACAAGTGGAAACACAGAAGTCGTTGAATGACCCTAAGACCAAGCTGCGTTTGTGAATGGCCGACGAAATTTGGATGATTCTACTACACTTGATATTGTATACGGACACAAGGTTATCTGCATTTTGCCAAAAGCAGAGATGAACCAGTGATATACTAAACGGACCACAAAGGTTCCGGTTATTTTTCAGTGTCATTTAAAAGCTTCTTGTCGGATGGAGTTTGTGTTTAACGAATGATCGATGGTGCTAGTGCTATGGGTGGTGAAGAAAATGTTAAAAATAACAACGTTGTAATAAGAAGCGTGATCAAAGATATGTCTTTTATTCAGCTGTTTATTGAAACATTAAACTGATTAAAGACATAGCAAACTCCACAAGATCACGAGCTGTTTTGCAATTTTGTGTAGATTGTTTATTTTGTGGATCAATTTCCATTTTCTTGGCTCCTTCTGTTTGTTTGTTTCAACTTTCATTATCATACATTACCGTACCCCGGTAGGTAACCTTTGCCAAGTATAGAAAAGGAAAGGGAATTATAATTTTGCTGAAGAAACAAATTGAACCACAAGACGCTCCATTCCATTTTCACCGAGTGTGAAAAGATGGAACTGGTTGTAACAGTCCGGAAGTTTAAGAATTTTTTAGTGGGTTTTTGCTTTTCAAATATTAGCTCCATTGGAGTCACTCGATCCACTCGCCTAATCTGCTCACACGCCCTCCACCCTCCCATGTCTTCCCAACGAACCACGGGTCGCCTAAGCATCGGCGCGGCATAACCTTCGAAATTTATTAAACTTTATAGAGAATCCTTAAAAGGATTTGTATGGGGAAGAAACTATTTTTTTTCTGTATCCTATTTATGTGAAGGGATTTAATGAAAATTGGCTAATCTCATTTAAATTGTGTTTTTCTTCTCTCCTGCTGGTTCCCGAGCTACTCCAGGCTACTGTTCCAGATCAACGGTATATTCTTTTAAATTGTTGATTACATTGTTTAATTCAGTTCCCACTGGGATCATTAGACCCTTGATTCTACTTTATAAGCCACTCCTTGTGAATTTCGCAGCACTTGTCATTGTGTTGTTTTGTCTGTTCATACTTCTAACCGGAAATATTTTATATTTGGCTGAGCTTAGCGATAGAGAGTTGAATTATTGTTCAGTGTTCTGGCTGAATAGCAGTAACAACAACAACAACTTTATTCTTTGTGCAAAAACACAGATATTAAATGGTTTGCCCCGCAAATAGCTGGAAAGCTAGTTGTGGCGAGGCAAGATCAGACAAGTACATCAATAACACAATTACACTATAAACTATTAGAAAGCCTTGCAGGTTGCAACTAAAAATAAATAAAACACAGAAGTTAAGTACTCTAATTAACACAGCGCTCACTGACATACAATGATAACAGGGGAAAAAAAAGCAGACATTAAAACCTTTAGCAAGAGTAGCGAAGAAAAGCCGGATCATAGCTGTCCGATTAGCCTTTAAAATCTAAACCTGTCCCCAATTAGTAGAGGGTCTTTACCCTCGGCTAAATACTATATTGACACTTTAATAAAGTCATGATGATGATGATGATGATGATGCAGGGTACATGTAATTTTGACGTACTCAGCAATGTCTCTGCTAGGCCATGGGGAAGCCACGCTCTTGTTTGTAAACTGCAAATGGAAATTAAATAAGAGATAACATTTTACCTTTTTAGCTTTATTCTTGAATCTGCTGTGGTGCGAAGTGAAATGGAAGTTGTTTTACGATGCAAAGACTATCTTCAAGTTGACGCTTTAACCGTTGTTGATTTCACAATGCTTTATGCGGTCACGCTCAGGCGCTGGTTGTTATTATCGTCTCGCGTTTCATCGTTGGTTGTTAACTCTCTTCGAATTGTTAATAAATTAATAACCAACAATGAAACGCGAGACGAAAATAACAAATGGCGCGTGACACCAACAGTGAAATAAGAGCCAAACCTCATAAAGCATTGTGGAATCAACAACGGTTAAAGCGGCGACTTGAGCATAGTTTTCGCATCGTAAAACAACCACAGCAGATTCAAGAATAGAACAAAACAGGTAAGATTTTGTCTATTTAATTTCCATTTGCAGTTTACAAATAAGAGCGTGGGCCCGGGAGGGGGGAGGGGGGGGGGGGGGGGGGGGGGGGGGGGGGGGGTACTCCCATACATTACCTATACGGGTATGTGCCGCCCAACGGGGTCGTGATTTTGAAGCTCCCTATTTTGATAGAACGGGGTATAATATTTCGAACGAACGAAAGCTCCAGTTTTGTAAGCAGCCATTTGAAATTATTCAAGGACAGACTGCTTTTAAAAATACGGTTCAGTGTGTTAACAAGCAAACTGTTGTACTCTTGTTCCACCCTGTGTCTTAGTGTGCAGAGGGCGTATAAAAAATTGGCCCATTTCTAGCACAGGGTATCAGTTTTAGGGCAAATTCTAGAACGGGGTGCAAAAAATTGGCCCATTTCTAGAACGGGGTATCAATTTTAGGGGAAATTTTTTTTTAGAACGGGGAGCCAATTTGGAGTCCAGGGCGGCACATACCCACCCAAAAAATACCCAAGTGCCCCCCCGGGAGCGTGGGTTCCCTATGGCCAGGCTGAAACGGCGCGGCCACAGTATGTAACCGGATGTTACGATGGCTGATGGGTGATTGGCACCTTACTTGCTCAGCTCAGTTCCGGTATACACAGCTGCTGAGATACTCATGTAAATATTTTGGTCCTAGGAAAATTCGAAACTGTCATGATCAAAGATTGAACTCACAACATGTTACAGGAAAATGACGGCAGCGTTCGTGTAATATAACGGGTAACGTTCAAATGAATTTTTTACTGACCAAGATAACGCCAAGGACACCGAGAAAGTCTGGAATCTAATATTCTGTCAGCGGTCTTTCCCATTAAAATAGGTAAAGCAAGATGGCGGACGGATGAGATTGATGTTTAAGTATATTTTCTGCGATTTTCGTTTAGGCTTAAACAATGTCTGCTAATCCCATTCCTCTTCGCCTTCCGCCCATGCCGAAGATCGCAGATATCCTACGGATTTATGGACTATCGGCCAAGAAACAACTCAGTCAGAATTTTATTCTCGACCTGAACATTACAGGTAAGAAGGTCTTGAAAGGGTTGGTCAGGTTACTTGGATACAGATTTGTTTCTATAAAACACGTTTTTTGTACAAGACGTTTTGATGCAAAAGTTTTTGGGCGCTTCGTTACAAATATAAAGTAGATTCGATACGACTTTTTGTTTCGACAGTATTCAACTTCAGAGTTCTGGGCTGAGTTGCTCAAAGCATGGTTAGCTTTAACCATTGGTTAAGCAGTATCAAAACCAATACGTTGTCAAGGTATTAAACGCTGGTTAACGCTAACCATGCTTCGAGCAACTGGGCCCTGGTCGCCAAAATTGGATTGATGCTGGTTTAAAATTTGGGGACAAAGATACCTACAGATACAATATTTTCTATCGATAGGGCAATGAGGTGGCTGTTAAGTTATTTATTGGTTTGGAAATTTACTTTTGACAGGACTGAGTGGAGTCCAATTCGGTCTGTAATCATACGAGTGATTAACAAAATCGGACGACCGCGTAACGGGAGTCCGATTCGTTTAATCACGAGTATGATGACTGACCGAATTGGACGACACGAAGTTCTGTTACCAATTAATCATAACTTTAACAAAATTTGTGATATAATAGGCTGTTTTTTAAATCAAAACACAAGAAATTCGAAATTTTGTTTTGCTAGCAGTGAAAAAAAAAAAGCCATTTAAGCGCGCACGCGTGATGGTGCATACTGTCCACTTACTAAGGCATGACGCGTACTGTCCTATTAAACTGTCCAATTAAGGCTGAAATCAGGGCAGTTGATAGCCAATCAGATTTGGCAATTTTGTTATAGTTATGATTAATACCATAATTATTTCAAGTTAGCCGTTGTGCAGGCTGAAACACGCCTAACTTGATCAAAGTTCCTTCTTTATTTGCCTGTTCCTTGGCAAATTTAGGAAATTAGGTTTGGCAAATACTCTTTATTTATTTAGTTTTTCATTTATTTCTAGAATTTATTACATTACACACAAACTAGAAAGACAATAGTGCATAGTTTATACATGTACAATGTAGTGCATAGTATAGTGATACTGGTTTATGGTTGTTTTGATACAAAGTCTCATACTGACATCACTTATCGATATTAATGTGCCAACCAGAAACACATTGGGTCTTGAAACAAAAGATTATTTGTTTCACTCGTTTCAAATTAAAATTAATAACAAAAACAATCTTTGTAAACATTAATGTTTCCTATGCTGCTACATTTTAGTCGGTAGTTCGGCTACCAGTATTTCTTCTTCGCCAAAGATGTGAAGTCTTCTGCCAGTTTTTCAGCTCTACCTAGTTGCAGAATTCTACTGGATATTGCAAGTGTCTTTGAAATCTGGGTAACACTACCTCTTTATGAATAAAAAGCCAGGGGCATTTCAGCGAGCCAGAAGCAGAGAAACAGTTTGAATTTATAATAAGGGTATGATATTATCATGCCAAGTGTACATGTACATGTATGTGAAGTGATGAACTTATCATGTAGAAATGATTTTTTTGTTGAAAGAGAACATTCCCTTTGCTTGTAGATAAGATTGCACGAGTTGCAGATGTATTTGACTGTCATGTCTGTGAAGTAGGAGCTGGCCCTGGGTCACTCACAAGGTCTCTGTTGCATGCTGGAGCCAAGCATGTCTCTGCTGTTGAAATTGATGGCAGATTTATGCCCTCATTAGAGGTACATGTATAACAATCATACACAGTATTAGACAGGTAGAAGAATCTCTTACTTCTTCAAAAGTATGATGCTTACAATTTTTGTTTGTTTGTTTGTTTGTTTCTTTTATTTTCCATCAGCATTGTATGATTTAAAATCTCATCAAGTATCTGATAGTCAGCGATTCCAGCCTCTTCAGATCTAAAATAATTTAAAATCTGAAGATTGCCTCTGACTGCCCTCTAGTATTAACCCCCTCCCCCAATTTTACACAAATTGGCCCAGTCTTATCTTTCTTACTTATGAAGTTTAGGTTAACTAAAATTCATTTCCAAGACTGCAATGATGAAATTAATAATCTTTGCAAGTATAAATGAAGCAGAAATACTTTCCAAAATACTGCAGAAATTCTACTACAAATGGCAAATAGTTTTGAACTAAGGGAAAAATGGGCCAAGTAAAAAACTAGAGCACAGAGAGCTCATTAGTCAATTTTATCCCCAAAATTTTGTGACCTGTACAGGAGACTGGGAGACTCCTAGACTAGCCAGGAGAGTGGGCATATATGTCAGAGGTCAAAATTAAATATTCAGGTTAAGAAAATTTTTAACCTAGGTTGATTCTCAATTTCCTTTGTCTTGTAGCCCTAATTCATGAATTATTTGAGCTAGGAGTTGAAGGAACTAAAGAAACAACCTAGGGTAAAAATAAAAAAAATTAACCTGAATTTAATTTTTACGTGTAACATATACCGTATATGGATATGGATAGTGTTAATCATTATATTGTACTGGATCACCCCAAAGGTTAAACATAAACAACTGTTAGGGATGCTGTCCAACCTCTTGTCATCAACCACTCAAAATGCCGAGATTTAGTGGTTGCTTACCGTAGGATCAATTTTGAAGAAGATTTATTGGACACAAGTTTTTTAGTTTAATATGATATGTGTAGTTCCATGTTTTCACCGAAAATTCCTGGGATACTCTAAGTGGCATAGTACATACATTGAACACTGAGATCAGTCAATATGTCAAGTAGGTGCTTATGAGAGGTTAGGCAAATGAAAAAAAAACCCTTATTTTTCAACTTTTCACATGGACTACTTAGGGAAAATCTGTCAACACCACTGGGAAGAGTGCCTTGAAAATAGTTAAACTGCCAAATTTGAAAGTGATACGTCTTAAGTGAGTGAAGATATACAAATGTACATGTACAGTCCCTAGCTCTGCTAAAATTTACTGACGTTTGTATGGTGGGAAGCAAGTTTGTGCCCCCTCCATACAAATGTCTGTAATTTTTGAGACTTTGAGGAGCTATATCTTATATCAAACCATTTTTAAACTTGGCAATTCTACTAATTGTTAGGCATTCTTTCCATTGGTGTCAATGGATTTTCCCTAACTTGTCCATGTCAAAATTGAAAAAACCATGGAAGGGTCTGTTATAAATATGTCATTGAGTGAAGTGTAGTCAGTCACCATATTGGGTTTACAAGATGTTCTATCTAGAGGGCTTTTAATAAGAAAAGGTTGGTGTTTTGGATAGACTGCTGCTTAAAAAGACCTTGTGCAACACTGTAATAATTTCTCAACTTTTGTTGCTGCTATATTGTATAAACAATGTTACCACTATTTGTGTTAAACAGAAACAATTCAATGGCTGCCAAAATATTCTGGCTCATTACAGTTGAACACAGAACATGACCCAGTTTAGTGGCCTTAGCTCCCATGAGTCTCCTGTAGTTTGGTGGTAGAGCATTAGTAAACATCTTTCTCAAACATAAAATTACAGTGTATGTGCAGTTCGTGTCTAATTTTGAGTTTTACCACTTCTGGTGTAAACGAGTTAAATCTATCACTTTTTTTAAAACTAGATGCTTCAAAGTGCCAGTAAAGGAAGACTTACCGTTCACCATGCAGACATTATGAAATTTCACATACCAGATGCTTTCCCAAGAGCAGATGTTGTGAGATGGGAGTCCAATGGTATTGTTACTTTACGGTTATAAAGTTTCTTTTTACATGTTCCATTCTAAAATGTTGTAGTTAAAAGGCAAGACTAGAATGCAAAACTAAAGTTAGGGCTGCATTTCATATTTTTTGAAAGTAAAATAACACAATGTAACTATTCAATGTACTATTTCACAAAAGCTGAAGACAGCTTTTAGGAAATTGCAGGTGAGGCTGACAATGTGAGTCTGCTATTTAAACAATGAAACAATGAAAGGTTGACCGAAACAAAAGTATTGATGATTTGTCCAATAAAACAATCATATCAATTCATTTTATGGATTAAAAGAATGCACTATTCTTTCGTGTTGGAAATAAACTATTCCATAGCATTCTATCGCACACTCCCACACTCTCTCACCTGACTCCACCACAGTCCGCTGCAAACCTGGTGGTCAGAGCCGGACTCAAACACAGGATTGCCAGATTACGAGACCACTGTCCATCCTGTTCCAATAAACGGCAATGGAGTGTGAGCCTTTCTGGTCAACTTGGCAACTATAGATGGAACATCAGCTTAAGTATTCAATATATCTGTACAAGTTTATGTTCATGTTTAAGCTTATCAATTAATATCCTAATTATACCTTAGCAACAGTCCTTATCTGTAATAGTGAACGTTTAAGCAAAGACGTTTTTGAGTGACGCACGCCAACCGGAAGTGGACTATAATGAGAAAGGGATTAAGAAATACAAATTTAGTAGCGTCGATAAATTTTAAAATGTAAAAGACCTCACTTCCGGTTGACGTGTGTCGCTCAAGAACGCCCTTGCTTAAGTTCGCTAATAACTATCTTATCAAGGCGGGAAGGAATGAAAATTAATAGTAATGCCCTAAAGAACCAAACCCTTTTTTTTGGCTTATTGTACTGTCTAAAATTAATTCTTTTTTTTTCATTATAGATACTCCAGGTGTACGCATGGTTGGTAATCTCCCGTTCAATGTGTCAATTCCTCTTCTTCTTCAGTGGTTAGAGGCCATTCCTCAGAGGGCAGGTCCATTTGTTTTTGGAAGGTCACCAATGGCCCTAGTGTTTCAGAAGGAAGTTGCTGATGTATGTCATGAATAATTTCAATATTAGTGTCAGAACTGTGTGAATATTTTCAGTGGCTATTGTGTGGCCCTTTTTTTTTGTATAACCTGCATACAGACGTGTCACTTCTATTTCGGTTGCATAGTGAAAAGAAGACGTATGCACGCAGACAAGTTTTTTTTTTAATTCTGTTTTTGCCCTAATTTTAAGTGAACAATAATCATGATTTTTTTGTTCATTGGCATTCCTAGAAGTCATGTGAAATTCTCAGTCATTACAAAGATGATCGATTGTTGGTAGAATCCGTTAAATTAACAGCAAACGGCAAACGGTAAATGTACAATGACCAAGATTTCCCTTTGCTTATCGTTCACTGTTAATTGTGTCTACGCAAAAGTAAGTAATTATTTATACCAGTTGTACCCCTAGAAATAGTTTTGGTCGGTTTATGCGCGCTCAACCCAAAATTCAAAAAATTGTAAACTTTATTGTTGCGCAGACTGATTGTGGCGGTTTTGTCATAAACCCCTTTTTAATCTTTCTCTTGACATAAGCAAACTCGGAAAAATTTATGACAGTTGCCCGGTTTTCTGCACATTTTTTTTTTATCTGATAAGGTCATATGAATCTAAAATTCTATGAAAAAGAACATGATCTTAACGGTTGAATGAACTACTCAGGCGGCAGAAAAAGAACCGGAAAAATTCGGGCTTCACCGGGAATCGAACCCTGGCCTTTGCGATGACCGGATGCAACGCTCTATCCATTGATATGAGCTAATCAAGCCAATATTCAGGTTCTTTTTCAACTGCTTAGGTTGTTCATTTAACTGCGAGGATCATGTTCCCGTTCAAATTTTTATCCAGCGTTTCAAAGTATGATTTATTTCATATATTTCAATGTGAAATTTGTTTGCAGGGTTTAACCAGCTTTCTCCAACATGCTACCTGCATGTGCTTCCGCCGTCATACTGTTTGCCGACCAAATTCTTCGGAAATAAATGCAAAGAACAAATTGTTTCAAACAAACAAACAACAACAACAACGAACAAAAACAGTTCTTTCAACTTATGTTGTTGCGAAAAAAAAAACTAACAAACAAAAATTATTCTTATTGGGGTTCGAACACAGACCACTGCGTTACCGGTGCAGGGCTCTAACCATTGAGCTAGCAAGCCAACTGGGAGCTGGTCCTTTTTTATTTTTATTTTTTTGGGCAGGCTTTCTTTTTGCTACTGTTAAGTTGCGTTTTTAACTGCGATCATTTTCTTTGCGTTTACTTTTGGTTCAAATATATGAAATTCATCAATTCATCACTTCAAATTTAATCGGGGAAGTTGTTCGTCGCCTTTACCAAATACAGTAAGGCTATGTTTGTTAAATTGAGCACGTCATTTTCTATTCCGTTCCATGCAAACTTATTACGTTTTCCTTTTCACCTTGTCCAGAACATCCAGTCTCCTCCAGGGAATAGTGAATGTACCCGACTGGCGATTATGACGCAGTATCTTTGTGAAGTGAAGAGGAAATACTCATTACCAAGACAAGTATTTGTGCCAGAACCCAAGGTACTGTATGGCAATATGGCGAGGTCTACTTGCAATGTACACGAATCTTGTGGGTTAAGAATTTGTGGGTTATGTTAGCTCTTAAAGGGAACTCTTAAATCAAATTAAATCTCAAATCCCGGCGTCGACGCCATATACTCTTTTTTTCGATAAGAATGTCGAGGCTGAAATTTGCGAAATTTTAAGATTATCTGAAGAATACATCCGAGGCTAAGAGTCAATGAAAAAGGACTCAATTTTGTGTTTAAAAATCTGTAAATACGTTACAATTGTACATTTTAAATTTAACCGTATAAAGTTATTCCTTTCACTTAACTGCAAGAACACTGGTAATTGAAACCCCAATACATTCTAAAGCGTAAATGCCATAAGCCATAATTTATAATTAAGAATAATTCAAGGTTATTTTCAGCCTAGAAGAAGAATAAAATAATAATTTTTAGCCTGGGCCGGAAAAACAACAAATCTTATATATAGAAAAGAGTGTATGTGACTTGAGTTTGTTGCTGGTTCTCTCCTTTGCTCTCCCCCTCTCCTCAAAAACCAACATTCCACTTAAACGGTATCTGTATATTTTATTTTTATTTGTTTATCCTCAGGCAGCCGAATAGAACAAATGTTAAGTTTTGAAAAAGATTTTTTTTTGTTGTTGACTACAGAGTATCGGATCTAATAACATCGGAATTTTGTTGCTGTCGATGGTCGAACACTTGAAGTCGTTCCTTTCTTTCCTTTCTTTCGTTCCTTTCTTTCACCTTTCTTTGACTTTATTTCATCACCTAAGTAGCCTTGTGATTTTGTAAGCGGTAATATGTTCTGTGCAACGTAAAATTTCCGAGCATTAGATAAATAAGGTATTTGGTACACTAAAACGATTATTCACCTATGTGGCCGTGAAAATGGCGTTTATTACTCCCACTTTATTGGCTTGTTAACTTTCCGACGGCTTCTTTTTAACTGCTCCTTCAGATTTTAGGTTGTCGGATTTGGTGTTTTTAATGTGCATATTTCATTTATACAGGTTGATGCCTCCTTGCTCTGTTTTGTTCCAAGAGTAACCCCGCTCATTAATGCTCCGTTTATAGTTGTGGAGCAAGTGGTGAAAGCGATTTACTCGGAGCGGAGGAAAACCATTCGAAATTCCTTACGGTAAGGCAGCACTATGTTGGAGGAAAAGCTCGTGGATGTCGAGAGAGATGTGTTTGTGCTAAGGAATTAACTTATTGGAAGCTTTCACATCCCAGTTTTGCTAGACGTATTTTAACCTCGGTTAGCGACTCAACAAGAGGAAACTGGTTGGTAACCGGTCGTATCGATACGAACTCAAGCAGTGGAGTTGCACAAAAAGTTTGCGCTTGAGTAAGAAAAAACATTTTGAGTGAATATTCTTCGTTCTTTAAAACCAAGTACGTGAAGCTATTTACAACTCGACTGAATAAACTTGTATCGAAACGCAGGTCTAGTTTTGCCAAAATGAACAAAATAATCATGAGCTTTTGATGAATGAGGGTTTCACTTGATATCCACAGGTAATATACGCGTGGCCCTCAACCAAAAATTGAAGATAAAAAAATTAAACAAAATTTAAGTAAATATTAAATATACAAAATTCTAGAAAGTCCTCCGATTTTGTGTTTACAAGTGAGCGTCCTCATTATTCACTGGCATTGTTTCCAAGTTTCATATGCACGTGCACATTTAGCAAAAGATAGAATTATTCAGTTCTATCAACAGAATTAAACACAAAACCTGGCGGGGGGGGGCAGGGGGGAAATTTGTTATATTTGAGGCCTTATTTAAAAACCTTCTCTGTTTTTAATGTTCTTGAAACTTGCAGGGTATATTTATTGGCAATTGATCTCGGTATTGTCAAATTTATAAAAAGATTTATCGAGCGGTTTTTTGAAAAATGCGAAAATTGTAGGCATGGACCAAATTACGTGCAAAAACTGTAACAAAAGCAGCTGAATGCAAGTTAATAGAATTCTTCTTGCTCGCGATCGCCCAGAGCAATTCCCCTCTTTTCCTGTACGCGGTTTTCAATGGAATCAAACCTTTCTGAGATGAAGCAGCGTTTCCAAAGCTTATCATTTTTTTAAAAAATTAGCCAATTGTGTGGATAGCATGTTATTTCACTGTTTTTATGATGCTTAAAACTTCGTTTCAAAATATCTCGAAAGCGCTCTCATAGAATTTGTTCAAACTTTATCATAATTGAGGCAATTATGGCAGGTACAAACTCCCTTAAGCGATTTCTTAAAAAAACTCCTGGTATCACCTTTAAATTTGTTAAGGTTTCTAATTATAGGGCGCTCTTTCCAGCAAAACATGAGGGGATCTATTAAGATTTATCTGCCAAAGTTTTACGGAAGATCATAGGGCAGTCAATTTAGTTCTGCAGGAAACAATTGTGCATCGAAAAAATTCCGCATCTCCAAGGTGTTTAGTGGTGGCTCTGGTCTGTAGTCGAAAGAAATTGCTAAGACTTTAAGAATTGTCCTTTGTTTATGTTCCGCAGAACCTTGTTTCCCCACAAGCCGGAGATTGCCGACGAGCTGATGGAGAGGAGTGAACTGGACTCCACTTTGCGTCCTCATCAAGTTGACTTTGACGATTACGATAAGATCTGTCAATCATTCATAGAACTATCGCGTGATCACAGTTTGCCCGTTACCCCTCTCAGAGTGCGTAAACCGGTTTCCATAACAACAGTCTCGAACAAAGAGGAGAAAACTCGCAAAAACGAAAATAATCTCGAGATAATTTCCTCGCTTTAAGGAAGCTATGACGGCCATTTGCTACACCCATGCCCACAATAAGCAATAATGTGTTGCCGCTTTGTATAAACCAGGCAGCAATGTATTCTGCCGGGGTAATGAGAGCTGATAATGAAAGGAAACCGGCAGGAGTTCGGTGGCGCGCAACATGCCAGGATGCCCTTCTAAGCCTGAAATCTTTGGTCACACGCTCAAATTTCCTCTCTACAGCGCTTTCATAAAAAGATCCTGGTTGCACTGGTATATTATTCCAACATTCGTTTAATGAATTTTTATAAATGTAGACTCCGATGCTGTGAGCGCCAAGCAATAACAGAGATAATATTATAAAAAATTACTCCATAAATTCACTTTGTTAACATGGCGAAAACAAACGGTACTTTGCTAAAATACTATGAAGGTAGCTCTTACTAGTTTTTTCGCGTGGGTAGTCCTTCGCGCGTGCGACTCTCAAGTTTTAATAGGAATGCTATACCTCCCAACTTTTCCTAAGTCGCATGCCTGTGATTTTCGTATTCATATTACCCGAATTTGGTCTGAAATCAGGTAGCAGCCTTCAAGCTAGACCGTGGGTTCTCCCGTTCGATAAATATCATATATTTATTAAGTTAACGACTTTTTAAAGGGAAGAAAATCAATTAAAGAAAAACCCGAACACTGTGTTGAAGTTTGTTGCTGTTGGTTTGTTTTTTCGATTAAAAGATCATGAAAAGCTTGAAGTTTGAACTTCTGCACTATTATAGACTATATAATATATTAGCCAGGGCTAAACGCGAAGCGCTCGTTAATATACTTGCGCAAAGAAAAACTAAAATCGTGTAATGGTAGACGGTAAAAAACAAAAATAACAACTTTGCACGTGCAGCACACTTTTCTGTACATTTCTTTGTCGTTGTTTTGCACGACTAAAAAGTGAAACTTCCTAGTTACACGTTTTATTTAGCCTGAGAAAAGAGCCGACATTTGGAGACGCTAACACTGGTTTCCCCGCCAAATGACGTCTGAGAAACGAGCGCAGAAATTCCATACTGATCAGGTGTCACTACTCAGATCTGGGTAGTGCTTCTGATTAGTCGTGGCGGGTGGGAAATTTGATTCAACCAATCAGAGGCACTACCCAGATCTGGGTAGTGACGGGTCATCGTAATGAAATTTCTGGGCGTGGTTCTCAGAAGTCATATAGCTGGAAAACCGTGGTAGTGTTGCCAAATTTCGGCTGTTTTCTTCAGGCTACGTTTTATTTTGCTCACAAAAAAAAATCCGTTGCTTGTGCTCCTGTGCGTTGCTATAAAATTTCCATGTTTTTCTTCCACCGAAATTTGTCTCTTTTGTTGTTGTTGTTGCTTTTATGTCGCTCTAGCTCTCTCCATTCAACCAAAACTTCCTGTTTGAATTTTCGACAATAGGGAATGGAACATCATTTTCAAAGATTTCCAAAAAGAGGACAACCTTTCGAGGTATACCCAAATGTTCCCCAGAATTTTCTTTCCATTCAAATTTGCTCCCGGAATTTCTAGAATTTTCATCCCCATCCCTCCAGAAAAATAATGGTCCGTCCCTTACTCTCAACAACGGCCACTTCTCTACAACGGCAACGGCCACTAACGCGCCCCCCAACTACCAAAAAGACCTCTCGACGTAGCGGAGCTAGAAAGAAAGCGGGTAAACCAAGACGATTGTAGGCGATATTTCCAGGGGCCCTCTAAAAGCGTGAAAAGCGACGTCGCTGTTAAACTGTTTAGCGAAGCGATCAAGGATGGCATCTCTTACCCTTCCTATGTGGGCGACGACACCACTGAGCATGCTGAGATTCGCCTCAAGACACCCGTCTATTATGAGATCGAGAAGTTTATTTACATCAACCACCCAACACCCAACTAGAACTCTAGGGTCAATGACTAGGCATGCTCGACTTGGTGGCACAACACGGACCCTGCCAACTATTGCCGCCACGCAGACTTACCAGGTGGAAAAGACGTCAGTGGTAATGATCTCCGTACATGCCTTAAAGATACCCTTAGCCGTTTCCTTACTGAGGAAGCTGCCAAAAAATTGGCCACAGTATAGTCGAGCCAACGTAATGAATGTCTCAACAGTATTGTTGGCATCTAGGGTCCCAAGACACGACATAACGGTGACTCGGAGAGAGCCGACTATAGAACGTTGGCAGGGATAGCAGCCCAGTTCAACAAGGCCAGGGTTACTCCTACATCACAGCCGCTGCAAATGACCTTGGTATCACCGGAGGTGAGGTGACAATTGTCAAAAAAAAAATCCTGCGAGGGAAACTTGCCTGAAAGAAAAATCCTGCAAGCGTGGGTACCGGTCGGTCAGCAACAGATCACAGAAGGCTTGAAAATTTGGTATCGGAGCCACAGTCGCCTACGGCTCGTGTTCAACGTTTTCATTAAACGCATTCTTACGTCAATGGTGATCTATCACCTGATCACTGAAGACTGCAAAATTGACAGGGCGTGTTGAGAGCGCAGTTGTTGCTCAAATCTCTACAGCCGAAGATATCTTCGAAATTAATGAAACAATATGTTACTGATTTAAAATCTTACGTTAATCTTTCGATGAGTTACAAAAGAAGACATGTTAAAAACGAAATAATAGAGTAAAATAAATTGTGCAAAGCCTACGCTCCGGAAAAAATTCTGTAGACATTAAGCTTATAAAAACAAATTCATGCGCCAAAAAAATTTTTATCCTCCTCCGGGCATTTCTAATGGTCTACGCCTAATTCAAGGTGGTACGAAAATCTGGACAATAGGAAATGGTTGCAAGGAGCAAACTTTGTAAATATGACACAATAGACCTCTCAAGAAATTTTAAAGAAACTTCATTGACGGATGTTATAAATGAACAAATTAGCGTTTCTATTCATTTTTTGAAATACTGAAAATGGTGCACTTACTATGACTGGCAAAGCAAGAGATCATACAAACCGACTTCCTTGCAATACCGAGGATTGAAAGCTTAAATCAACATGTACCTTTCTAAAGTAGCGAGGAAAAATTGGTAAGCATTTTTCTGAGTCGTTATTTAAATTTTCTAAAAAATACGAAAAAGACCCTTGAAAAACACACGCGCTTTATTCAAATATGCTGTTATAGAAATCAACCAAACTTGGCCAAAGTGTTACCCATAATGTACGGTATTCATAATTTTACCGATTCTTCTAAAGACTGTTCGTTACTCTCGACAAATACCAAATAACCAAAGTTTGCCATGGCAACGTCGCGTTGCTAGGGACGCTCCGATCTTCAAAAACCTTACTGCGTGACAAACTTCAATCTATTGCTAGTTTGAATGATTGTCTACTAAATGTTTTCAAGGTTAAAGGTTGGTTGCCAGCCGATTGAAAAACCCCATCAAGCCACCTGCACAGCTAATTAAGTAAACTGAAATAGAAATAAGCTAGAAGCTACTTTTGAAATTTAACATACAGGTAATATTCTATAAGCATTATAGAATATTTACTTATCTCTACAGGGATGGCATTCCAAACGGCTGGCAAGGCAGCAATCCCCAAGTAGTATTTGATTTTAAAGCGGAGCCCATAGCTGAGAAAATTTGGTAAGCTATCCATCCGAGAAAATTTGGTTATTACGTCAGCGTACGACCGAACGCTGACCGTACAGACTCTGGGGGAGAGGGAAGGGAGTCAGAAGTCAGCCCGTCGGGGGAGGAGTATGTTAAAGCTGAGGTGAAATTTTGCATTTCAAGCACACTGCTCGTTTCGGCGGTAAATCACATGGTCGCCCGGACTTTAAGAGAGAAAAAAACACAACAACAACAACAACAAAAAAAACGAGTCTTTCTTTTCACTAAATATTAAAGTCTACATTGACTTTGATGACAGGGAAAGAGCTAGAGTCAGAAACAAATAACAATGGAGACCAATTTCGTTGGAAAAAGACTTGAAAATTATATAGCGGCGGTGAGAAAATGAGCGGCAGTAAAGAAACAAAGTGAACAGGAACACAAACATTTCCTCCATAAAAGGTGTAAATAGGAAGTTAAAAGCGGTTTTACGTCGTTGTAGTCGTGCCAAACAACGGCAAGGAAATGTACAAAAAACAAAAAAAAATATGCTGCACGTGAAAAGTTGTTTATTTGCTAATTAGATCTGTTGTTGTTGTTTTTTACCGTTTTTGTTGTTTTCACCTTGTCTATGGTATTACTCGATTTCATATTTTCTTTGAGGAAACTATAAATATTGAAGAGAGCTTCTCTTTTAGCCCTAGCTAAATCTATATATTAATTAGAATAGTGTTCTTTAGGCGGGCGTTGAAACTGTGATAGTATAAACCACCAATATAATAGACCTTCCTTCGTTCCTGTAAACAAAGGCACCAGATCGAGGCTCGGGTGGACAAAATACAGTGATTTGTATGAAAATGTCCACCCGAGACTCGTCCTCATTTCTTTATGTTTGCTTACTGGAGCGTAATGTAGGAAAAGTCTATTAACATTTTCTGTCATTGTCTTTAATAAAATTATAGGTAAAAGGAAAGCGTTTCATTTGTTTTCTAGTTTGTAAGTTGTCGAAGATTTAATGATGGTGAGGCATGGAAATGTTTTCAGAAAAATACTTGGTATTTTATATTTTAAAAGCTTTGAAGGTGAGCACTTTTATGAAGGGGCCTTTATTTCGATAAAGGAGTTTAACTGCCAAATATTTTGCACTCAGAGTGAACATTGTTTTCGTCGGCTTTACTGACAACTTTCTTGTAGTAACGTAAATTTTGCCAGGAGAGCTTTTATTTCTACCTCATTTCAACCGCATTGAGACCTTAACGTAAGCGTTTCCGAGGAAACTTCGTATATTGACGTCATCAATTGGAAAATTTTTACCTAGTGTTCTTAATAGAAAGATATCAGCATTTTGAGGGTACTTAAGAAACACTATACTTCACTATATTTTTTTAATATGAAGGCGAATGCGATGCTCATGGTAGTGATGGCAGTGCTTAGGGTGGACAAAAAAAGTTTTT